AGAAAATAACAAATGCTGGTGGGGATGTGGAGAGATTGGGACTCTCATACACTCCTTGTGTGACTGTGAAGTGACACAACCACTGTGGAAAGCAAATTGGCGATTCCTTAGAAAGTTGGACTTGGAGATACCATTTGACTCAGCAATCTCATTATTAGGTATATATCCTAGAGAGGGGAGAGCCAGGATAGGAACAGATACATGCACATCCATGTTCTTCACAGCACTATTTACAATAGCAAAAAGATGGAAACAACCTACGTGCCCATCAGCGGAAGAGTGGATGACCAAACTATGGTACAGACATGTAATGGAATGCTATGTAGCACTAAAGAATAAAGTAGAGTCTGCATTATTGGATGAACCGCATAATATGGATGAACTTGGAGAACATGCTGAGTGAAATAAGTCAATCACACAAATAAAGTTCATTGTTGTGGAGGGTCAAGGAAAGATTTATATATGGAGGGAAACTTTCTTTGTTGGTTGCCAGGGGTGGGAGGGCAGGGGAGGGAACACTGCCGGAAAAGAAAGAAAAAATGCATTGACTCATGTCACTTTAGTTTTGTGTGTTTCACTGTACATAAATTATATTTCAATAAAATGCATTAAAAAAAACTAAAAAAATAATAACAAACAAACATAATTGTTTCTGTATGTCTGAGATTCCTTTAACAGGTAAATTAAATTCCTGATGTGGTTTATGAACCCTGATTACATTTAAAATGTCTAGAAGTGAGTGGGAAGAGGAAAACAGGCAACACCCTTCTACTTCACGTGTGTGTGTGTTGTGTTTGAACATTTTGTGGTGCCTTGGGTGAAGGTATACAGAACAAATTAATTTCCCATTCAACAATTTACACATTTGTTTTGTGACTTTAGTTGCAGTCCCCTTAATGTAATAGCACTCTTCACACTTCCTCCCTGGGTCCCTGTTTTCATTAACTCATCTCTCCTGCTCCTTCCTGCCTTCTGACCTTTGTTTTTGAGCAAATGGTGCCCTGTACGTCTCCTATAGTTGATTGTTCTGAGGAGTACATTCCTCATGGATGTTTTGATTACTTTATGGGCCTATCTATTGATTGGCTGAAAGGTGATCTCTGGGAGAAGGTTCATTCCAGGTTTGAAGGCTGTCTTAAGTGCCACAGTCTCAGGAGTTCTACCAGTCTCTGTCAGACCAGTAAGTCTGTTCTTTTTTATGACTTCGAATTTTGTTCTACATTTTTCTCCCACTCTGTCCAGGGCCTTCTATTGTGGTCCCACTCAGAACAGTCGCTAGTGGTAGCCGGGCACCATCTAGTTCTTCTGGTCTCAGGCTAGTAGAGGCTGAGGTTCACATGGTCCATTAGTCCTTTGGACTAATTGTTTCCTTGAGTCTTTGTTTTTCTTCACTCTTCTTTGCTCCAGATGGAAAGAGATTAACAGCTGTATCTTGGATGGCTGCTCTCTAGCTTTTAAGACTCCAGTCACTACTCACCAAAATAGAATGTAGAACATTGTGTTTATGGACTGTGTGCCAACTGACCTAGCTTTCCCCTGAGGCCATGATCCTAAGCCCTCAAACCCAGTGATGAGTCCCTCCGGGTGTTTTGTTATGGCTAAGAAGTTTGAGTAACCTTACTGCCTATGTATTCTACTGTATACCTATTTGCAGCACATACAAATACGGATGTAGAAATATCCTCTACCAAACCAATGTATGCTCTTGGGTGTACTCTCCTCAGATGCCATCTGTCTGGGGCTTCTTCATGGAGCCACAGGTCATTTGGTTGAGCTGGAGGATGGTGATAACACAGGGTATGCCTAAGGCACTTGACTGCTAACCAGAAGGCTGGCGGTTCAAACCCACCAGCCACTCCTCAGAAGGAAGATGGGGCAGTCTCCTTCCGTAGTGATACTGCCTTGGAAACCCAAGGAGGGGTCGCTATGAGTCGGGTCCGACTTGACGGCACATAAACAACAACAACAACATAGCGGTACAAGGGTCTTGAAGAGTAGATGGGGGAATTGAAGGGTCAGCCTGTGGAGTTTATCCTTCGACAGGCACTGGGAGCAGCTACAGAGAGCATTTGAAGGTTGCGTCAGGAATTAGGTGGAAGAGCTTCAAGAGAGAGCTAGTCACCTGTCTTCAGAGGCCACAGAGAGAACAGACGAAGGGCAGGTGGAGCAGGCAGAATGTGCGTGAAGGCTGCCATTAGACTCTCCTGGGGTCCTCTTCTCGTGACTAAATAGTCCCTATTCTGTGAGAAGCTTCTCTTTGGAACCATTTCCCCATGTTGTAATTTCTTTCCTGTGCTTTGCTGGCACCTCTCTAGTGTCCCATGCTTGTCCTTTGAGAGTAGATGATTTCTGACACCTGGAGGGATTGGAAGGAGCCTTAGTGGCACAGAGGTTAAAGCTTTTGGCTGCTAACCAAAAGGTGGGCAGTTTGAACTCACCAGTTGCTTCTGTAGAAGAAAGATGGGACAGTCTACTTCTGTAAAGATTTACAGCCTTGGAAACCCTATGGGGCAGTTCTGCCCTGTCATGTCGGATTGCTGTGAGTTGGAATCCACTTGATGGCAGTGGGTTTTGGGTTTGGAATTTTGGGGGGTCTGGGATCAAGAAGTGGGGGGTAGATGCCAGTATATTGTGTGACACTGAGGAATATTGGGATGGTGGTGGGAAGGTGCCTACCTTGGGGCCTTGGTGCTGGCTTGTGGGCTCCACTGAACCAGATACAGGTCAGCCCCACGTGTCCCTGAAACAGACCCCTGCAGCTGATCTTCTCTCTCTTCTCTGAATGTAGTGGTATCCAGTATGCTCCAAGGCCACAGTTCTGTGTTCCAGGCCCTGCTGGGGACCTTCTTCACCTGGGGAATGACCGCGGCTGGGGCAGCACTTGTGTTTGTGTTCTCTACTGGACAGGTGGGTTGACCTGCTGGTTTGGGGGGTTTGTAGGGACTCTTGGCAAGCTCTGCGGTGATCCCACTCCTAAAGCAGAATTGGATTGCAGACTCTGATGCCATTGGTCACCTTGGGCCACCTTGGGGGTTGTGTGTTGCTGTTTTTTAGCTGCTATCTTATTTTCTCCCTTTCTCTCCTTGAGGCTGGGAGAACAGGAGTCGACTCTTGGTGGACACGCTTCCTGCCTCATCTCTTTGCCCCTCTTGACTCTGGAGAACTAACTTGAAGAGAACAGAGTGAAGAGCTTGTTATTCAGCTTACTTTTGCCCATGATCGGGATTCTGTTTTCCATGGAACTTCTTTCAGGCCTGGGAAGAAACCAAACCCAATGCCATGGAGTTGATTCTTACTCATTGTGACCCTCATTGGCTTTCCAAGGCTGTAAATCTTTACAGAAGTAGATTGCTTCATCTTCTTTCTGTGGAGAAGTGGGTGGGTTTAAACCACTGACCTTCTGATTAGCAGCCAAACGTGTTACCCATTACTCCACCAGAGCTCCCTGGAGCAGGTGGCAATATACATGCCTGAAAAAGAACATTCGGTGTTGCATGTAACTGTCCCCTCCTGTGGCCCTGAGTGGGCAGAGGTGATTGACAGGACTTTGGGGGAAAGGAAGGGTATCTGTCCACCTTTTCTTTCACCTCATCTCAGGGCTTTCTATCCCCCATCTTTGGGGTGGATATACCCAAACATGCTCCCAGCCATCTCCTTACAGACCCCCACCTGCCCACCCACACCCTATACATATCCTCTGCTCTTTCCTCATGAACCGCCAGCACCCTCACTCACCCCATGTACTCACACCCACACCCTCTCATACCTCCCTTCTTTGCACACACCCCCATACCTCTCCACAGCTCCCCATACATCTCCCCAATATCGCACACCCTCATACATTATACACACCTCTCCACATCTCCAGCCCCCCTCACATTCCCATGCACCCATGCAACCACTCCCCGACACCCCATCCATACCTCTACACATTCTCATGCACTTTCCATATACCCCAATATCCATATGGCCCCTACAACATCCATACCCCCCACACCATATCCACAACCCCACACTCCCACACACAACACCCTACCCCCCATATCCTCCCATGTACCCACACAAACACTCACAGCCCCTCATACCTTCCCTACATGCCCCTGTACCTTCTACAACCCTCTACAACCCCCCCCACTCATATGCATCCATTCCCCCCACTTGCCCACACCCACACACCCCACATGTACCCTCCCCCATATTCACATCCTCCCCCCGTCCCCTATATACCTGAGATGCCATTATTTTCTGCAACCCCCAAGCCCTCAGTCTACAGGCCCAGAGATGGGCTCGCTATCTCGATGGAGGCAAAGTCCCTGCTTTGTTCAGACCGCAGCCTAGAATCTGAGAGTGTGAATGAGGACGTGATTCAAGATTGATTTAAACTTGCTGTGAGACAGGTCTGGAAACTGGAACCCGTCTAGGAAGTTGGCAAGGCAGGTGCTCTGTGTTAGCCATGGGCGAGACTAGGAAAGCAGGTCGTGAGCTCCCCACTGCACCACCCTGCCTCCTGTGTGGGAGGCTTGAGCCTCCTGGAGACCTGAAGACACACAGCCCTTGAATCCCAGGTTCCTGTTGACAGTGAGGGAAGCCTTTTGAAGCCCAATCTCTGCCAAGAGATGCCAGCATACAGAGGAGAGGGCGGTGGTCACCTAACCCTCCCCCTCCATGAAGTCCCTGCAGATTTTCTGGGTCCTGTCCTTGTGCCCTTCTGCCAGATCCTGAGCAAAGCAGCCTCTTTTGCACCGAGCAGCAGAAATCTGAGCACGGGCCTCCCCCATCGCTGAGGCAGAGCTGGCTGTGGGTGGGATGTGACAGCCTCCTGTAGCTCCAGGCCAGTGCCATGGACCCTGCAGGAGAGGCTGTCGGTTATGGAGGCACCCTCCTCTGCTTTGGAGCTTCAGAGCCCTTCGCTTGTCTCACGTTAGTGTGATCACTTGGAGTCCCTGGGGTGTGCAAACAGTCCCACGCGTAGCTGCTAACCAAAATATTGGAGGTTCGAGGCCATCCAGAGACACCTCAGAAGAAAGGCCTGATGATCTGCTTCCCAAGAAGCAGACGAAGGAAATCCCGTGGGGCACAGTTGTGCCCTGACACACGCGGGGTCACCGTGAGCTGGACTTGACTCTTGGCAGCTGGTTTGGTTGTTTTGCTTTAGTGCGACCACTAGGTCAGTAAGAGGAGTGGCCCTATCTGGAGGCCTTTAGGCAATTCCCCAGGCCCTGCCTGTTTGCTGATTTGTCAGAAGGACGCCCGCCCGAGACTCAGCATGAAGCTGTTCTCACGGCTAAGGTTTAGTACAGTGAAAGGTTACAAGATAGATCAGCCAGGGAAAAAAAAGAAGGGCGGAGTCTCGAGAAATCTAGGAACAGGCTTCCGGGGCCCTTTCCCACCTGTGAAGGGACGCATCAAGCATGCTCTTTTCCCCAGCAGCAAAAAATGCAGTCACATGTGTGTGATGGTTCTGCCCAGGGAAGCTCATTAGAGACAGCAGCCAAGGCCTTTCTGGGGTGAGGGTCACATCAGCACCCTCCGTGTAGCACACACCAGTATTCTGGACTCTCAGGAAAGTGGGCATTTAGTGTAAACCACGATGTGGTGTGAACAGTCTAGGCATAGTGAGCTGTCCTTATCAGTTAGGAAGCAGAGGGAAGGTGCAAGTGCCAAGTTCCCAGAAGCCAGCTAAGAGCCAGGCTTGCCAGCTGCTATAGCTTTAGTGAGCTGTGTTGACTCTTTGCTGCACAGGAGTGTGGGTGATGAAGTGGGAAGGGGCATGGCATTGGGAGACAAAGGCAACTGTGGGGGTGAGCCCACAGAGCTGTGCTCTATCCCCGTGAGCAAACCTTGGTTCTCACCCAACCACATCTGAGGCTGCAGTGAGGGTCTCTGAGGACAGCAGGCTGCCCTCGACTGTGTGCTCAATGTTGTTCTAATTCCACTCACGATTTATTTTCCTGATTCTAAAAATCATGTTTTCATTGTCAAAAACTTGTGAAATATGGAAAAGCTTAATGAAATAATAAAAATACTCCTGATCTCATCCTAGAAGGGAAAGCTATTAATATATTTGTTCAAACTTGTTCAATTGTGTATTCTTTGACTGTATGTATGTATGTACATATTTATTTTCTTTATGTTTGTTGTTGTTGTTATTTGCTGTCGAGTCGGGTTCGATTCCCCGACAGGGAGGCAGAACTTGCTTTCTTTATGTAGTGGGTATCAAATTGTGCGTAAGGTTTTATAACCAACTTTTCTCACTCGATATCATGAGCATCCCCTGTATCCCTAAATGGCTTATTGAGGACGGTACTTCTTATGTAAGGTTGCATCATGGGGCAGTATCACAGTTTACTTAGCCATTCCCCAATGTTGGGTAACTAGACTATGTCCATTTTTTGCTGCTCTTAGCAATAATGTTATGACTAACTTATATCTCTGAACACAGACCTGATTAATCCCTTGAGATAAATATCTAAAAGTGGAATGACAGACTTATTGGCTTAAAAAAATAGGTTTAATGTTTTCCCCTTTCAAGATCCAGAATGATGTTCCCAGAATTCTTCACTGTGTTTGTCTAGTTTGGTTAAATGACTAGACAGCTTTGTTTATGTCGTGCTCGTCTAAATAAGTATGATGTTTGTAGAGCTCCCTGGGGACAAAACCTTGCATCCGTCTCATGGCCACTCAGAGCTGGGGAGAGGCTACGTGTGGCCGACACAGTGCCTCAGGCCCCTTCGGGAGTCTCAGTGACTGGTGCCTATAATGTGTTCACGTGACTATAGATTGTACCCCTGACTTAGGTTGCCTTTTTAAAAACACTATCTATTGAGATATAAGATGCATGTAGAAAAGGGCACATTTCATGAATGTAGAGCTTGATAATTTCAAAAAGATGCTCATGCAGCTAGCACCAGATCAAGAAATAGAATGGTGCTAGCCCCCAGCAGTCACGTCAGGCTCCCTTCCAGTTAGTGCCCTTCACTGCCCACCTTCCCTACAGAGCCTAATCTCCCTACCTCCCAACCTACTTCCAGCACCCAACCTCCCCTATGCCCACCCTTCCCACAGAGCCCAAACTTCCCACCACCCAACCTACTTCCAGCACCCAACCTCCCCTACTGCCTGACCTTCCCACAGAGCCCAAACTCCCTACCACCCAACCTGCCTCCAGCACCAAATCTCCCTGGAATCCAAACTCCCCACCACCCAACCTGCCTCTAGCACCCAGCCTCCCCTACTGCCTAACCTCCCAGCAGAGCCCAAACTCCCCACCACTCAAACCTGCCCCTACCACCCACCCAACCTCCTCCAACTACCCAGCTTTCCCCACCCCCACCCAATTTGCCCCCAGCACCCAACTTCCTCTACTGCCCAATCTTCCTAGCACCCAACCTCCCCCTTGTCTAACCTGCTCCTCCAACCTCCCCCTACCACCCAACCTGTCCCCCAACCTCTCCCTGACAGCTCAACCTCCTTCCACTCCCCGCTTCCACTCCATGCATAATCACTCTCCTCTTCTCTAATGGCAGTGATCAGTCTTCCCTGTTTTGGTTCTTTTCATCAATTGTGTAATCATGTAGTATGTGTTCTTGTGTCTGGCTTATTTCCCCCTGTCTGTTTTCCAGCGTATTGGACGTCCCTGCCTGTTTGTGAAATTCCTTCATCTATGTTGTGTGTGTGTGTGTGTGTGTTCTCAGTGCGTTTTACTGCTGTTGGGCATTCAGGTTTTGGCTGTCACACATAGTGCTGCTGTGGGCATTCTACTCCATGTGTTTGGTGAATCCAAGTGTGTGCTGCTGGTAGGTAGTTGCTCCGGAGTGGACAGAGGGTGTGCATATGCCCAGCTCTGGTTGGTGCAGCTAAATAGTTTCCTAAAGTCGTTGGGCCAGTTTGCACTCCCACCTGCAGTGTGTGAGGGTTTTGGTTGCTCACCAACACTTGGTATTTTCCATCTTTTAGGGCGATTACTTGCTGAAGACTTATAGCTGTCATTTATAGGGGGAGCCTAGTAAGAGACAATGCAGAGCTCAGTACAAGCCAGGCACCACGCAGAACAAACACTGACGGGCTGTGGGATGGATGGAAGACTCTCCTCTCTCCCCCTGCCAAGTTCTGGGTCCATTTCATAAGGGCTTGGGTTCATTGAGGTTTCTGGCAGGGTCACCAATGCAGGACTGGCCCAGCCTTTTATTGTATGATTCTCTTTGGCCCTAAGGCCTTCTCTTGTCATAGGAAACATCCTGTTGTTGTCCTTTAGAGACTGAAACATCTTGTTTTCATTTTCAGAGGCGGATCTTAGATGGAAGCCTTGGCTTTGCTGCAGGGGTAAGTAGCATGCGGTGGGAATGAAGATGGGTTTATTCTCTGTCAAGGTATCTCCAGGCTTTGTCCCCGTGTGACTCAGATGTGTCCTTGTGCAGTGGCTCCCTGTGTGCTGGTTCCCTAGTACCACTCTGACAGGAAATACACTACCAGTGAGATGGCTTGACAAAAAGAAGTTTATTCTCTTACAGTTCGGGAGGCTAGAAGTCTGAGTTCAAAGTGCCAGGCTCTAGGGACTGGGTGAAAGCCCCTCAACCTTGGGCTTCAGCTCTGTCTCTTGCTCCCAGTCTGCTGAAGCTAGAGGAATCTCTTCACTCAGGCAGCTGGTGGCTGCTGAGGCTAATAAGCCCAAGGTCAACAAATAAAAAGGCACAGTCCCGATGTTTGGTAACCATTCATTCAATTGGCAGGCCATTCATTCAAGTCCATTGAAAGTCCCAAGGTTGGCAGAGCATGGCAGGCTGCTGAACAACGACACGGCTACATGCAGGGTTTAAGTCTGCCATAGGCTAGAGACCGTTCCCCAAGGCTTCTCCTTATATACAGGAAGCAGACCACATCTGTAAGGCAGCTACTCAGCTGTTCGCAGTAGATTCCACCCTGGAGTTGATTACCAGTCTCATCATGGGGAATACCACATCCAGCTGCCAAGCCACTCAACCAGGCCCAACCAAGTTGACACAGAAAATTAACTACCACACCCTGTTACCACTGACTCTGTTTACTTTCCAGTTTATCACATGACCCTGCCTCTCTTCAGATAACTGGGTAACTGCCTCAGGACTTGTAAAATGAGATGATGTTTAGGAAGGGCCTAGCACAGAGCCTGATACATAGTTGGCATTAAGTAAACATTCTCTGTCTCTCCCCGCTTCCCCTCAAAAGGCTTTTTATTATAGAAACTTTCAAATATGTGAAAAAGTGGAGACAATTGTATGATGGACTCTCAGATACCCATTACCCAGCTCATCTCACTTCATCTGCTCCCTCCAACCTTCTTGTGAGATTGGAATATTCAATTTTTATTGTGATTTGGGTGAAAGTTTGCAGAGCAAATTAATTTTCTATACAGCAGTTCATACACATTTTGTTTCATGGCATTGACTGCAATTCCCCACAATGTAACAGCTCTCTTCCCACTTTCTCTCATAGTTACTTCCTCCCTGTGTCCTTATTTCCTGTGCATTCCTGCCCCATGAGCTGTCTCCCTGTGCAAACACTGCCCTTCTGTTCTCTCATGATCATTCTAAAGAGCGTATCTACCTGGTGTAGCTATTCACCCTATATGTCTATCTGTTGTTTGGCTGGAAGCCACAGGAGTGAGTTCAGTTCCAGGGCTGAAGAGTAACTAGGGCCCATAGTCTTGGGGATCTCACCAGCCTTTATCAATAAAATTGGTCTTTTTTTTTTATGATACTGCATTTTGTTCCACATTGTTCTCCCACTCTATCCAGGATCTCCTGCACCAATCCCCCTCCAAGTGGTTGACAGTGGTAGCCGGGCACTATCTAGTTCTTCTGTTTGGAATGTTTTTTCAAAAGCAAAACACAGACATCATGTAATGTCACCTGTACATTCAATTTGCGTCTCTAACTGAATGATTAGGAGCTCTGGTAGCGTAGTGCCTAAAGCACTTGACTGCTAACCAGAGGTCTGGTGGTTCAAATCCATCAGCCACTCCTTGGAAGGAAGGTTGAGCAATCTTCTTCCATAGTGATACCACCTTGGAACCCCAAAGAGGGCTCACTCTGAGTCGGGGCCGACTCGATGGCACATAACAACAACAACTGAATGACTTGTTTTTCTAAACAGAATCACCATGCCATCCATTAGCACACTAACCCGAAGGAACAATACTTCCTTAATAAAATTTAACACCCAGTCCGTGTTCAGATTCCCTCCTGCATCTTCTAACACTATTTTGCTAGAATTGGGATCCAAACAGGAATTGCATGTTGAATTTGTTTCTTAGGTCTTTTCAGTCTCTTTTATTTTTTAATAGTTCCTCCCAGCCTGCCACTGTAACCTATTGGAGAAACTGGGGCATTTGTCTGTAGTATCCCAGGTTCTGGAATTGGCTGATTGCTACCTTGTGGTGTTATATACCTTGTTCCTCAATCCCCTGTGTTTCCTGTGACCTCGGAGTTAGACCTAGAGGCTTGATGAGTTCAGAGTTAATTTTTCAGGCCTGACTACATTGTCAACGCTGCTGGGTCTTCTGATTACATCAGCCACGTCACAGGACACGCTATATATGCCTTTTCCTTTTAATTGATCAGAGCTTGGCATCTTTCCCCATTGTTTATAGTCCTGTGATCTGGAAAAAGTGGCTTGGGGTGGGACCTCCCACAGGTCATGTGGGCCAGCGGCCTTCAGCCTGGGGCCTGTGTACCAGCAAGAGGACACGAAAACCTTCTAAGCAATATGCAGGCACCTGGATAAAACAAACAAACCCGAACAAAACCAAACCTGTTGCTGTCAAGTTGATTCCGACTCACGATGACCCTGTGTGTGGAGTAGAACTGGATTCCAAGGTTTTCACAGCTGTGACCTTTCTGCAGCAGGTCACCAGGCCTGTCTCCTGTGGGGCCGCTGGGTACGTTTAAACCCCCAGCCTATCTGTTAGTTGCCATACGCTTAACTGTTCGTGCTCCCAGAGACACTGGCCCAGGAGTAGTGCTAACAAAAGCAGTTTCCAGATCCTCAGATACCATATGTTCTTTTTCCTAAAACTGCGGGGCCTGAGAATGCCCAGGAAGCTGGTTCTCCTTTCCCATCTTCCTCCGTGCACTTGCTCCTCTCCCACTTTGCAAAAGAAAGACACCTTCTTGCCGTATCATCTTGCCCTGGGCAGCAAAACCTCTGCTCATGAAACAGAGACCCCTGCGATGCTGGTACTGTTGTGGAGAAAGGGAAAGACCCCAACTGCTGGGCACACGTCGTGTAGCCTTTCAGATGTGGCGTCGTCCTTTGAAGGGGGATCTAATGGAATTGTCTATGGAATTGTCCATAGAGAGATCCCTGAAAAGGAATTTCCCATGATGGACCCACTCTGGGATTTTGGGCATGGAATTTGGGAAGAGTTCAAAGAACAGTATGGCAACATTATAGCAGAATATCTTTTTTATTTCATCTCTTTATTTACATAGTCATGTTTTCTGCTTGATTATTTATGTTAAAAAAAGAAAAATGGAAATAAAATTGATGCTCATTTCTGTTTCATCCTAGAAATGACTATTTAATATTATCCATCAGTAAACAAATGAATTTGGGCGGGGGGAACCTAGAAAAATTCCATGCATTAAAATGTGCATTTCCAAGAATATTTTACTTTTCTATGTTCATTAATTATAAATCTGCACGTTACCTTCTTCTGGTTGTGAGTCTGTTGCCACCATAATGGTTGTAATGATAACTTGATTTGGGAAATTATTATTTAAGCTCTAGAGCTCTAGGCTCATAGGAAATTTTTTTTAAAAAAGAAATGGAAATGTATATAGATGTTTTTATTGCAGAGAAATATGATAAGGAAGTCAAAAATAGATTTTCTAGCATAAAATATAAATTACTTGAGAATAAAACTGAGGAAAATGCAATTGAAATACAAGTCAAGGAGAAAATGGAATAATACATTTTTGACTGTTGAAGAAGAGCTCGCTTGCATATTTTTTGTGGGAGTTGAATATAAGACATTAACAGAAAAGTGCATGAAACAGTGTACAACTTAGTTTAGGCATCTATTTTAAGTGAATAATCATGAGAATCAAATCCTTATTCTGTGTAGATACTATTGGATGCATTTGGACTAATGTAACAGTTTTATTTAAACCAATACTTAAATGCCACAAATTATATCTTTAATTTTTTTAAAATACATTTCATTGAAATATAATTTATGTACAGTGAAATACACAATGCTAAAGTGACATGGGTCAATGCATTTTTTTTTTTTTTTTGGCAGTTTTCCCTCCCCTCACAAATTACATCTTTTACATGTAATTTGCGGCATATAAAAAGGGATTCTCCTTTTTTGCTGACCCTCCACTTTACCAGGCATGATACCCTTCTCCAGGAACTGGTCCCTTCTGACAACATGACTACAGAACGTGACGTGAAGTCTGGCCATTTTTGCTTCTAAGAACATTCTGGCTGTACTTACTCTGACACAGATTGGTTTGTTCTTCTGGCAGTCCATTGTATTTTCAATATTCTTTGCCAACACCACAATTCAAATGCATCAGTTCTTCCTTATTCACTGTCCAGCTTTCACAAGCATGTGGGGCTATTGAAAATAGCATGGGTTGGGGCAGGTGCGCCTTAGTCTTCAGAGTGACGTCTTTGCTCTTTAATACTTTAAAGAGGTCTTTTGCAGCACATTTGCTCAGTGCAATACGTCATTTGATTTCTTGGTTGCTGCTTCCATGGATGTTAATGTAGATCCAAGTAAAATGAAATAACCAGCAACTTCAGTCTTATCATGATGTTGCTTATTGGTCCAGTTGTAAGGATTTTTTTTTTTTATTAGGATTTGGGTGAAGATTTACAGAGTAAATTCACTTTTCATACAGCAGTTCACATATACTTTGTCTCATGTCATTGAC